TTTTATAATTCGATGTATTTCTATTGCACTATGGGAAGCAGAATTTATTCATAGAAATGATTGCAGGTAACATCTCTGTATGAATACAGAGTAGAATTCTGACTAAATGTCTGTCGCTTTATCCGGTTTTTCATTACCGAGTTATTAGATGACTTTCACTCTCAGGTACGAAGAAATAGCTAAAATAATGACGATCAGCTTGTGAACTCAGATGTTGAGACTGTCTGCTTTCAGAATACCAAAATAGGAATACATTTTATATAGATAATATTAAGAAAAATCGTTTATATTACCTCCCTTTATATTATAGCAACCACGGTATAATTTCATACCTATTCATCGTCAAACGTACATTTGATTTTACGTATGCGTAATGTGAATTACAACCATCGTTTGACAACGTGGCTTCTCATATTACTTTATACGTAATCTCGAACCACTTTTCCGTTGAATGAAATTCCAGAAATGTGACATAATACAAATTGGAATATAATGGAATGTATATGGAATTGTACGTCGCTATGAAGTGCTTAACAACAATATAAATTGACGTCAGTGTATTCCACATAGGCTATATATTCTCAGCGATCACTTGAAATTGACGGAATCATGAGTACGAGAATATAAAATTCTGATGAAATGTATCACGAATACTCACTCGACTGTATGTAAATATGGAATTGAATTTACATAGAAAGCGGATCCTATTCGGTATCTCCGACATTTGGCAAAATGGTCATATAAACAATAAGTTACTCTCTTTGCTACGAAATTGTATGTCGTAATAATAAATTTCAATATTTCAATAATTCATTTGTATATATATAGTATAAGTAATTGGCAGTCGCGATTTCAAAAATCCAAATTAAAATTGACAAATTGCACAAATCTTCCATAATAAATCAAATTCTCTCATCAGATCCGAATATGTCAGCGTTTGCATGAAATATCTTTTGTTAAGTTTGGTTGGGTTCAAATATCTACCCAGTGAAGACACTGCCGTATAGAAGGGAATTGGTAAAAGCTCGGATCGAGTAAAATACTTATAAATCGGCCAAATACTTTGTTTGTGTCTTGTGAATAACCTCCTCCGAAGGCCCCTATAATGACAGGCATGTGTTCATGTTTGATTCCAACAAGAATTAGAGGAATTACCAAAATTTTGGATCGACGTGGTGGTACCAAACCATATTCGGCCGAGAAGTGTGCATCATCGTGGATAGCCTACAGCCCTACACGAAAGTCGCTTCAAAATAGTGTTTGATTCGCAGAGAACGATACTTAGCATTCACGAGGCATGGTACGCGTATTGTTTTTCTTTCAAACAATAAATACAGAAAACAAACAAATATAAAACGCGTGAATTGAGTGTTTCAAGACAATGGCGCAACATTCTGCGGCATCTGAAGAATGCAGAGTTTAGCATATTGCAGAAAACCGATATTTATATAATAAATTATTAGGAATATACAATCAAATTGATGTAAAAAGTGTGAGAAACCGGACCGTGCTAGAGATTCGATCAAACGTTGTTAAGCGCTATTTTCGATAAACAAAATGGCGATACGTGAAATCCTTGTTGGGGAGCGCATCACACATCATATTCAATTACTTACTTAACGAAAATACCTGCAAAACAAGACCAAAGCTTTTTTTTGAATAGTAGATTATAACAAATAAATGCAATGACTAATTTATTTGCCTAGCATATTAACTTCTGTACTTCATATGACAGGTGGTTTTGGCGAGACATTCTGAATACGGTCGAAAAAACACTTGCCATGATCGAATCGCGGGAACCACCATGCGGTAATGATACAAAGCGTACGTGAGTCTAACTAAATATCTTTCCCTACGCCAGGGGTCGGCAACCTAAGGCCCTGACTAAAGCTTATACTAATATTGAATTATAGTAACAAAACAGCTGTTTTGACGATTATATTCTTTACCCCACAAAATTTATTGTGAGACACGTGTAGACTAAATTATATATATTATAATCTAACAAGTATAAAATTCACAATTACTCGTTTAATGAGCCTATAATTTAATTATAATTAGCTAAATGTCCATAAAACTCAGAAAAGTTGATGCTAAGTGCAAAGGGTTCAATGGTCCCGAAAATATTCGAATGGAATTTTTTGAGATGCAATGCAATGAGGAAATAAATATATATATTCTATTCGAGAGATGTATAACTGCTTGAATTTTATTATAAAAAGTATTATCCGCTCGGTTTTCTACTTTTTAAAAACATGTGCGGCCCGCCAATGACGTGCAACCCTTAATTTTGGCCCGCGAGCGACAAAAGGTTACCGACCCCTGCCCTACGCCTTCGAGCTGGTGGATTTGTATGCGTATGTATGCAAGGGTGCTGTAGCAAAAAATGAAAGAGTCTCAAATAACATAAAATACCCCGAAAAACATTTGGATAAAGACGTGAATATACCGTGGGGTCGGACACAACCGAGTTGCCTAGTTTTTTCATAATATATATAATTTAGGGATAATAAACTGAAAAAAAATTTCATATCATTTTCATTATACCATTAACCACACATAAATAAATGTTTTTGAGAATATTAAAATCAAAAATGGACACTCCAGAAGTGTGTGTACCAATATGGAGGTAACTAATTTTGTCCGCCTACTTTACATCAAGTTGTGTAAAGGGACTGGAGCCTATGGACAGGGGGTATATTCACTTGGCTAACATAGACACACCCCGAACTCGTAATAGAGATATAAAATAGGGAAAATCGGAATAAAATTATGGCCTAACCCTAACCTGGTACACACACTATACAGGAGTATCAAAAGAGCTTCGAGTTAAATAAAGAGTGATTTGGAATCTTTTGGTAGATATTAATATAGATTTGAATTGGAATTTGATCACCGACATAGCGAAAACTAAACACTTATCAATTGCAGTCGCTGTAGAATATATTTTTTTGTCTTTTAGCTGGATTGAAATCAATTTTACAAGAATAGATGAAGAAAAAGTAATCGTAGTAATGTAAGATTGTATATATACACTTAATTAAATTTCGTGGTTTATATTTGTTGAAAGCAGCTTTGTTGTTTCGTGTTATCTACATATTTCCGCTTAAAAGGCACCAAAATACTTTTGTTTATTATTTTAACTCTTTTTGAAGTACATCACATGACGCCGGTTTTTATGTACCTAGATAACATATTGCCAAAAACGGGCATGTAAAATATCTGCAAAAATTCCAGGCATATTTCCATTAAAACTGAGTTCATCAAATTCTGTTCGAACGTAACCGAGTGTATTTCTATGACTACATAAAAAAGCAATTCATAGAAACAAAGCAAGTAATCTGCAAGTTATTGATATCTGCAAAGCAAGTTATTTGAACAATAATCCAAACGAATTCTAAACGATCTACGAAAATAATTTGGGGTTCAAATTTTAAACCTTCAACATTCTGATTTGCAAAAATATATGCTAGAAAATAGTGGCAACTGCTGATAGCCTACCGTGATTTTTTACCAGCGACTAAATTAACTCCAGTAGTACGGTAGCAGCTACCGTTACGAGATCAAATTTTCTCCGAACGCCCTTTGGAAGAGTTACAATACATGAAAATGGATGCCCCTGCGACAGGTTGACATCTCGAGAATTTAATGGAAACGTTTGAAACATTAATGAAATGAAATATATTTTTCTAACTGGACTCAAAAAAATTTGGTAAAAAACTTTACAAGGTGAAAAAAAAATAAGAACCAAGTCAATTCTATAAACCAAAACAGTTTCGAGAAAATACGAGTACGAACTTTTTCAATAAACCTAATAAGTTATAAACTTTACGAAAGTAAAGATACACACATTAGTGTGAAGACAATGAAAATGGTTAAAATTTAAGATGGGATCAACAGTGTCTTCGGGCGAATATCAGATAGATCTTGAGACTACTCGACACAACGATTTCAGTATTGTCTTTGATTTGTTCTCTTTATACAATACACAAATCATTTATTTGGTGAACAAGTAGGATAATGTGTATATATTCATAAATCTCTCCTATTCACGATTGACCAATGCATCTGTTGCCGGTCACCTATCATCTATTCTAATATCGAAATCTATTTAAAATAGCTCTGTAGTGTCATTCTGTGGCTACATGTTTGTAGACATATCATACCCACAATTTTTTTACCTTACGTATAAATGATTCAATCAATTTTATTTTGGTCAAGATGTTGTGAATTTTTGATAGAAACAAATTCTTGACCGTCATAGAAAATACCGGACTATGTAAAGTAGGAGGACTTGGAGTATATGACGCATATCCGCGAGGCTAGCAGTCTATGAAGTTATAAAGCATCCGAGGAGGGAATGTTCTTACTAATTTTTAGGTATTCATGCTGGTGTTTCACTGATGCCACAGACATATGAATTTTCATATTCCAGACATGAAAATAATGGCTAGACCAACCCTATCTCGTATACCTAAGCCGCGATATACAACGAGATATGCCCAGCTGTGTCCAATCAATGTATATAGCGTAAATCGCATTGGTTCAATCCGCGGACGACATGCGCCCATCGGACGACTAACGAACTATGAATCAGCTGTTTATAGTAAAATTCGATCCTTTTTGAATGAATACTGCTCAGATAATTGTGTATCGTCCAATTGTGACGCGTATCACGCCATAATCCAGCGACAAAACATTGTCACGACATTCAAAATAGGGTTACACTTCAGTTGGAGAAATAAACTTCTGTGTAGTCTATATTTTATTACTGCTTCAAGCAATCAATATTATTTTTCACATTTGTCATGTTTTACTAAAATTAAACTTTGATTTATGGTGTATGACATGGCATTCAATGTGTGGCGAAACTGAAATATAAATTGAGGCCATAATGCTTTTGGTCTGATAATGTACTTTGTATGCCCAAAATTTAGGAAAGAGGCAACAGAATACCGGTGCCATATAGCTGGCCATTCAATATCTTCACTATGTCTACATTTAATCGTTATTACTCATTATATAATATAATTTCAACGTTTTATAAGCAGAAATAAAAAACACTCTCGCCGCCATCAATGGTGACATTTCATGCGTCATTGAACTCAGCTGATTTGTGAGACGGAGTTTTGCATTCAATCTTAGCAACGGTCACTTTGCATCCTTTTTGGCTATATTTTCGGCAAAATCATGAATTCTACAATGCAGACAATGAAAAGAAGAACTTTGAGAAGAAATAAGGAGGAAGCAGGTAAGCATATGGCTACCTAATTTTACCTAAGAATTACTATCCCTAATCCCTATGCTATAAACATTTCTTTTGTTTAAATTTTTTTATCTCAGTAGCTGCCCATTGTTACATCACAATGGGATTTGATCATAATATTTGAACAGGAACAATGATCCTTGAGAAACGGGAGACAATAATTTTTTTCTCCCTTTTAGTTAAGATGATGCCATTCAGAAATTGTGCTATGTCTGTATGCTCTTACAGTCTTAAATCAGTACCAGTATAGGTTTAGTCTAACTGCAGAACTGCATATAGTGAAAAATTACCATACAGTATCAGTGCTGTAGTGATGAAATAGAATAAATGTAGTCTAGATCAAAGGTTATACAGTTAGTCTATAAGCAAACCATTGAATATGTTGATATGATTGTCTCAATGCAGCAATGCAATGTTCATTGAGATTCATATTTTGGGTCTACTGGTCTAGTGTAGTTTTGTACCTCGAGTACTTCTAGTGGAGGTAGCATGATAATTATTGTACATGTCAATCCTAACCTCCATCTGACTGCATCATTCAAAAATTACAACACAGTGATGTAATAATGCCCTTCAAACGAAACGAACTGTCATTCATCCAAGATGGACAGATGATCACCCGAAATCGAGCAAGCTATATCTCTTGTTTTCTCGTCGCAATGATCCCGATATTAGAGAGATTGTTGCCGTTAGTGAGTTCCTTGTCGTCAGGCAGATGCCATTTTGGGCGTTTCATAGATATACTTTGGCAAGCTCTATGACCTGATTGTTACGTAGTCCAGTAGTCAGGTTGGGTTAGGATTGACATGTGCAAAAATTGTTGAAGCTACACCCACTAGAAGTACGAAATTAAGAAATGATAAAACTTTTGATGATAGTTTTATCATTTCTTAACATTTCTGTTGTTGCGCAGGCTACTTATTAAGCAAAGGAAAATGTGATATATGGTGTACTTCCATCATATTTTTGTATTAATTGCATTACCTTTTTATAGGGTACCTTTATAATGAGTAAAACACAACAGGAATTTGAATTCTGAATCGAATATTGCAATACATTCGAAATTAGTTATTTTTGATATAGTAAATTCTTGATTCTAGCAATAAATCAGAATATTTTTTTTTGCGAATGTCTTTCATTTGGAAATGTGGAATTATAGACAAAATATTAGTTGACTTCTGATAGAATAGAGCAGGGTTTTCCATAGTTTTTGGCTTACGCACTCCTGTTGGCGAGTCTTATTTTTATCTGACACCCATTCTATGTGGTAAAAATGTCTGTGCCTAACCAACGAGAAAGGTTAATTTTTCATTTACAACACAACAACACAAGTAATATTAATGTGTTGGATGAGGTTGCTTTTCACTTTATCAATCGATTCTTGTAGCAATTCGTGACAAGCAAACTCGAAGGTCCGACTCTACGGCAAATCTCGGCCTGCATTTTTTCATTATATTGGTATAATCTGAAATGCTGCTTCACACAGCCAACACGAAGTTATAAAGTTGCAATTGCTCCGCGGACCCCAGTTTGGGAAACCCTGGAATGTTTATCTCAATTATTCTGTATAACCAAATTTAATTTATATAAATTTACAATTATCTTGAAAATTTCCCTTGTGGAACAGACCCACTTGAGAATGTATTTAATATTTCATTTTCGAAATGATTATTTTCGAATATATTCGGAATAATAAATTATCCGGTTTTGGTCGTCCCTGGTTAGGTAGGTAGGAAAGGCGATTGAGATTGCAATTAGCAATATATGTAAGTGAAAAATGAGTTGTCTGTGCTAATTTGCATAACTTTTCCATTTTCATTCGACCATCCATTATTTTGGAATATATTCAGAATACTAAATTTTTCATTTTTGGCCGTTCCTGATTAGGTACCATGTTTCCCCGAAAAAAAGAGCTACCCTCTGAATTTTAAAAATGATTTTAACATAAGCCCTCTAGTCGATAGCGCGAATTTTTTTTCCTTTCACATGTTTTAAATAAATAATAATCTGTGTTTAGCAGTTATTTCAAATAAAACGTGTTATTTATAAGTAAATGGATATGGGCTTTCATATTTTGTGTATTTGAAAATTTCGTAATTGTCCACTTTATAATTGTATTTTTGATAAATGAAAATAGGGGACATCCCCCCAAACAAGCCTAGTGCTATTTTTCGAAAGAAAATTGAAATAAGACCCTGTCATATTTTCGGGGAAACACGGTAGGTAGCGAAGGCGATTGACGATTTGCAATACATGTAAATGAAAAAGGAGTTGTTGGGCTAATTTGCAAAACCTTTTCCATATTCATTCGAGCATCCTTTAAAAAATTTTTTGGAGTGCTCACAAATTAAAATTAATTATCAATTTTAAAACAAACAACTTTCTCATTAGGTACCACTGTCAAATACAGTTTAGTTTTGGAGGTTTTCAAAAATCCTCTTTTCTCCCTATGGAATTTGATGTAGATGCTTATCTTCTTATATTTAAATAATTCAAGCCCAAGCATGTTGTAATCTTTTAGAAAGCTCGATGTGTAGAGATGGAGAGTATGTATGTTCATACTGGTTCATGTTCATGAATGTATAAAAAAAATTTGGAAATTATCTGTGATGTAGACATGTTTCTTCAATTATTGGTCTGAATTTGTCTTTCAGAGCAATCACAGCGTTTCAGTCATTCATGATTTCATGACTGCAAAATGCAAATTACACTTACTGAAATATTAGTTTAATGATGGAGGAAACGTCAGCTGTTATTTCATCAATTATTTAAACTTTCAATGAGTGACTCGCTATTCCGATTCTGGCGTGATCCTCATTTCGTCTGTTGTGCCAATGGAAAGGGTCGCTATATTACCACCGTTTGGTAAGATGTGTTTTTGTACAAATCATAGAATATGATTATTTGGTAATGTTTGCAGGTTGTGAATGTTGTATTATGGTATAACATTCATATATTTGACACGTCTTTATGAGTGTTGACTTTGTGTAAAGTTATATGCTAGGCAAATTACATCGTTTTGCTATTACCGGAAGCTCATCTATTATGTTAGGTATTTTAGAATTCTTTTCTTTTGTTTCTTGCCACAATTGGCAAGCAATAAGATTCTTAGCAAATTTTACTTTATAAAATTTTGATATATTTCATGTTTTGCATTCATGTCCTATTTTACATTTATAAAAATAATTTTGATCATGAGTGTTCATAAAAGATGCATTTTAAATACTATACTAAATACTAATACAATTATCTCAATAGGCTAGGTTTTAAGTTGAAAAATGATTGCCAAAATAGCTACAAGTGCTACATAATAGGCCAAACATTCGTTTTCATTATATATATAGGCACCATTTAAGGCTCAGGCTTAGTTAAGATTAGTTTCATTTCTAAAATTATATTGTATTGGATAAGTATATCATTAGAAATATACATTTTCATTTCATCTCATGTTTTTTCAATTAAATTTTCCCAGTAGACGATGACCCACTACCTACCTAATTGCATTAGACATGTGACTCATTATGATGTCAGGGGAAGTTGGGAAAGCCTTATATAATCAATACTTTTTATCATGCTCAAGTTCTTAGTGTTATTATCGTCTGCCTAAGCTGTTCTTTTATTTTATTCTTCTTGTTGAATGAGGTTCTTCTCATATTTACTAATATTTTTAGAGAAATGCACATTGTTTATGATTCATTTCCTTGTTTCGTAATCATTGTTCTGTTGAATGATGAAATATTGCAGCGTAGGTCAGATTTGAGTTTTTGTTTAATAAAATTTTGTATGTTCAGTCGATAATAGAAATAAATAGAATCTGCGATTGTATAAAATTTTCTATCAATGTTATTTTATGACAATTTTAAAAATTCTATTATCTAAAAATGCCTTACTAACCAAAATCTGGAACATCCCTTCTTCATGAAGCTAAGTGGTATCATGTTGGTAATGAAATAGAATATGGAGCTAAGTTATGACTAAGATTTGCTTATACTTATTCTATTAAGTGAACTATAAATAACATTTGTCTGAAAGAACAGAAATAGTTCAATTGCATATATAAATACTATAGAAATCCATGAGCATGGTATGTAGGCATGTATTCCAAATCAGTTTTGAAACTTGGAAGACATTGGCAGTTAAGTTGTTTATTGTATTTTGTTAATGCAGAATTGCTTTAACTCAGAGTCAGACCTTTTTACAAAAAGAATAGTTACCGTACCTCAATACTATTAATGCTACTTATCAAAATTATAAGCCTTCTGAGGTATATATTTGAATTGGAGACTTTTAAAATTAAACTTGTATGGTTAGGGAAATACTATTTAGCCAATAGGAAACATATGATTTTATGTTGTTCATATAGGGTATTTTGAGTATTGCTATTTTGAGTTAAATAATTGCAAATTAGGTTTTCTTTTTTGCTGTATTTATCAACTTCGTCGCATATTTGTGTTTCAGGCCATTATGGTCTTGTGTGTGCCTCCCGTCTCCAACATTGTTTTCTGATACTAAGCTTATTTATATTTTACCATTGCGAGACATTTAGGAATAAACATACATAGATAGATTTCATAGAATATTTAAATTTATGAGAATGGGTATTTTCCTAACTTAATTAGTTCTGAGCGTTCAAATTCTTCCTAATTTGAATGATTTGCACAATAATATATTACTCACTGACGCAACAAGAAAAAAAATACGGGATTCAACACATTTTTGTTATTATTTCCTCATTACTCATTTTTCATAAATTTTTTCTTTTTTTCAGCCAAAGATGAGGATAAAACTGGTGATTTGACTGTGGATTACAGGATGGCTGATAATTTTGACCAAAAAGAGATAATATTCAATATTCCACCCGGAAATGCCTATGCAAAGAGTATTCTGCCAATACGAGCATTATACAGATTATCAATCATTTTGACACATTTCTGGTGGTTATGCTTAGATTGTTTGATTGCCTTATTTATTCGTACTACCGAAGAACCCGATGTTATCGACAGAAGGAAAAATATCCTACACAAATTGAGCATCCTTTCAAGGGTTCGTAATCATTTTTAATTACAAAAATATTCAAATTTTTAATTAGTCTAGTCATTGTTTGAAATAAATTATTTAAAACGTTTGAATAAATTTTTCAGGCTCTATTCTTCACTGTGACATTTCTCCTACTCTCACCATTTGCAGTAATTGGATTTCTCATATGGTTACCATTGCAATTATGCCTACCAAGGGCGTATTCGTTCTACTCAGCAGAAGACGCTTACGAAAGGCAGCATTTGTTATTTTCTGATACAACACCTTATAAACAAATGACTACAATGAAAGAGGATTCTAATTCTAATACCAAATCAAATATTAATAAACTGATGTCGAAAGATATTTCAACTACTTCATTTATGAATGTAAAAAAATCATATGTTTTGGTATCAGGGAATGTTTGCCTTATGCCAGAATTTCTTGCTAAACTTAACAATGTCAGTAATTCCGTAAAAAGAGCAGAAAAAATTTCGAATCTGCTGTGTGGAAATCAAATACCTTCAAATAGTCATAAAGCGCAGAATTACATTGTGCAAAACGCAAATGATGGAAAATTATTGGACACTGAAATGCTTGTGAAAACTGCAAGTGAAACCTCTGTCACGGCAAGCAGTTTTGGAAGTAGATTTGAGAATGAAAGTTGTTTGGAAGATGAAGGTAAATCACATATTTATAAGAGCAACTGTTGTTGTTAGCACATTGTGGTAAGCACCTCTGAATATCCTTCGTGGATTTGCAGGTCATGGACTGCTATCTAGACAAGGGCTTATGCCTATGCTGTATCGTGTGATTAAGCTGTCGTACCCTCCTCATTCTTATCAGAGATAAATATGAAAAAATTCTATTTTTATCTCATCTACTGGTATGTTTTATGAGCGTAACAAGAAGGCAAATTTTAATGGAGAATACATACAATTAGCACCAGGCAATAACACTATCTTTTCCTAGTAAAGTTTTAAATAAATTGTCATCTTCATGTGCACCAAAATTCTCAATAAGCTTGTATGTTACTAAAAACTATTTGGGGCTCAGATCATCCAAGCTGGGGTGATGTTTATTTTTCATAACACTGTCGGGGAAGAAACTTGGAACAAAAAAGTAGTTTGTTGCATGAGTCTGCAATGTAACATACAATACACATATAGTATACAATCGAAAATACATAATATTCTTCTGATAAGCAACTTTATCAAAGTTAATAACTTTCGTTTTTATGCTCAGTTATTTCATTGGACTCAACCAGTGAAGCCTCTATTCAATGGAGTGTGTCAAGTAAAGAACGAGCCGTTTCTGAAAGTTTTCCAAAATATTGTGATTTTCTATGTTTGCAAGAAATTTTTGACAGAAGAGCTGCTGATGTATTATTAAATGGACTTCGTAGCAAGTAAGCATTAGTTTCTGTTGCTTTTAAAGGTCTTGTATCTGTTGGATTTGAGGTAAGGTTTGAGATCTCTTGAACTTGAAAGAGAAACATTTCCTCTGTATTGAGTATTTGATATGGGAATTTACCCCAGAATCCGAACTATGAGCCAATTAAAAAAAGACAGCTCCGACTGGTGGAGTATTAAATTGGAGTTATCAAATTTGACTTTGACTCCAGTCTGAACTCTGAGAGAAACCTTGGCATATGCAAGACTTTTTGATTACTTGTTGAGAATGCTTATTAAACTTAATTACTGGTAATGCTCTGAGTTTCTATCGGAAATTTGGACTTAGATTTTCACCATTATTAAAAGGCTGAAGCTCCAGCTTCAGGATTTTGATCTTGACTCTGGGGAGTTTAAGAATACAACTCCTTCCAAAGCCCTGCTGCACCTGTATACCTTTCTTTTTTTAAATTTTTGTTTAAAGTCTTTTTAAAAGAGTTATCTAAAAACCCCTTTTTAAAATCTGATTTTCCTGTATTTTTGCATCTTGTTTCAGATACCCTTATATATTATATGATGTTGTCTGGCCAATACACCATCGCCGAATCAGTCTATTGAACAGTGGTTTATGCATTGCAAGTAAATATCCATTTCTAGATGTAAAGTTCAAGGCATTTCCTGATGGATTCAGAGAAGACAAATTTGCTTGCAAAGGACTCTTAATGACAAAGGTATCAATATTAAAAGTAACTAGTCTTTATTGAAAGTAACAATATTTATAGCAAAAAGCAATGTTCAAATAATTATATTGACACAAACGTTTGTTACCTAAATGCCAGAACTATCAGAAGAATAGTACCGAATGTCATATGAAGTTGTGCGCATGAATTATAAAAACAAGCATCATTATGAGGCCCAGCACAATTCAAGAAAATTTGAAGAAAAATAATAGTCTTCCTGCAATTTTTCCATCTTTAAGTACCAAATCTTTGATATCTATAGCTGGCATGGGCAAACTACGGCCCGCGGGCCAGATCCCGCCCGTTGGATAATTCAATTTGGCCCGCTTGATGCTGCCACAACCAAACTGAAACCAAATTTTGATGTTTCAGCTAAAAATAGGTCGAGGTATTTGTTGAGATTGCGATGAAATTTAGTTTTGGCACGAGACTTATTGTTTTCCACTTTTGCTTTTGTAACACTGAATATTGTTTATTAAATTTACCGTAACTTTTTACGTCACATATGGCCCGCCAGTGTAGGTGGGCAAAATTTTTGGCCCCTGATCCAAAAACTCATTTTTTTTTCACAACAACAATCTAATTCATTAGTCCACTTAACATCCAAAAACTAATGTTTTATGAATTTTTCACTCTAAAATAGCTGAGTTAACAATGGGAAAGATGTTATAGCTTGTTCAGTTGTGGGTTTAAGTTCTCACTTCGGACCTCACCTCATGATGTAATACAATATCGGTAGAAATTAAATTTATGATATTCACAGTCTGTACCTTTGGGTTGTGTTCTGTAGTCTTTGTATTTGATTCTGTCACTACTATATTACCAAAATATGACATAGTGCTGCCTTTATAAATAGTTCTTAAAAATCAAGCATTTGTAAATAAGTTGTTTCATTTCAGGTTTATCTGGGAGAATCTGATGATGGAAAACCACTCGTTGGATATCTTTCCACAACACATTTACAAGCAATAACCCACACTAAAGCATCTCAAGTTCGATGTAGACAACTTAATTTAATACAAGCATGGCTGGATGATTTTAAAAATAGGTGAGATTGAAATCATGAAATTATCTACTTTTATAAATAGTAATTTGTTTTTTCTGTGAGTCTTCAAAAAATTTTTGAATTAAATTTTGAATTAAAGATTGGTGCTTTTTACAAGAAATTTAAGATGAGTGAAAGATGAATTGTATATATAAAATAAGATTTGTAAAAAAAAATGTAGTTTATTTATTTGTATGGATCCCCTGATTGCAGAGAAGAAATTCTGAATCTCAAATATATTTTGGATCTGTGTGATGTAGTACTTTTTTTCTGATTCGAAATACGAATCACTATTTTTTCTCTTCTATAATCCTGAGTTGCAAAACTGCAGTATGTTGTGAATTTTTAAGTTTTTTCAAAAAAAAAAAAAAGCATTGTGTCGTACTTATACACGAAAGCCTGAAATGGGCTGACCTAACCAGTGGGGTTGAATTACAATCAAAGTAGTTACAGGAACCCCTCACAACCTCAGTAATAATGTTGTAATTTCAAAATCTTTTTCAGTACAAAGAACAAGCACCATACTGTGATGTTTGATATTGTTTGCGGAGATTTTAATTTTGATCAAGAATCACACTTTGAAGAAGATGAAAGAAAATGTGAATTTAGAAGAATTTATCGGTAATTAGAGTTGTAATTTGTATTTGGGTCAGGGAGGGATCAAATTATTCAGTATGCCAAGCATATGAAAAATGAAGTATTAAATCAACATAATTGCCTTGAATTTACATTGAATGTATTCATATCGGAATATTGTTTTTTATACATTTCTCACATGTAACCATTAATCATGAACAAACACATAAGGACAGGGTTGTACATATGAACTGTTGGAGCTATGAGTTAATGATCGATCATTATGGCACCTGAGATGTCAGTACATACTGTTAAATATGAAACTAAAGGTGTAATACAACTTTCCCAGGCAAACAACTTTTAAAAATTTTATTCTGTTACCGCAAAGCATTAAGTTTCTACTTGGGTTTCTGTTGAATCACTCATATGATATGGTAATACAACTTACCACCATTATGAGTTCTTGTAGTATAGTATTGTTATATTTTATGCATTTCTAACACCTGTCAATACAGAGATCCTTGCATGAATGAGATGACAGGACAACAACATAACTGGGTTATAGGAACAGAATTACTACCAGAGTGTATACATGATCAAGCTGTAAATTCGTCGAAAGGTCTGCAAAGGTAACATCATTTGAGCAGTATTCAAGTATTCAATGAAATACTGTTCTAATAAATCATCTGCATGACAATAGGGTCTCTTACCTATAAAATCTAGGTCAATCTGGTAAATCTGGGTCTGCTGCCAGCATGGAATGTTAGGTAATGGTTGCATAAGATAATATATTAAATTTCGTGCACATAGTTACATAAGTCTGTTGCACAATAGAATTTATCAATAATTTTTATGAAATAAGCAATATATCTGACAAGGTAATGAACAATTTTTAATCACTCTTCAACTTTTTTTTGACTGATTAAGATTAACAATGTTTGTACAAATTGGAACCTGTGGTGTTGTCGTGACTGTGAGTTAAGTCTAGTCATGGCGTCTCGCAGGCCAGTCTAAAATTTTTGTCCTCAATTCAAGTCACAATGCACTTCCGTGAAATTGATACATTTGAGTCCCATTGACTTCCGATCTCTAATCAAACCAATGTTATTTGGAATAAACTGGAATTCAATCATATATTAGACAACATTTAGATCGGTGGTATCATAACAACATTTTACGACTTATTTCTAGTCAATGAATTTTTCATTCTTTTAAACATTTAAAGCAACATTAATTGGATTGATACCACTAGTTTTATTTTTTCATTTCGATGGATTTCACAAAATTTCAGAGCTTCAGGGATGTCTTCTAGGCACATTGAAAACCGGGACTCGAGCCGAACCAATGGCTAGGGTTTCTCCGACAATGATACTATGGGCTAATTTTTTCTACATCTGTTGTTTTTGTTCAGGATGTTGATATCAGAGTTGGAACGACCTCGTTATGTAGCTTCTACTTTGCCTGCAAACTGTGCAATGACTAAAATGTCTGATGGTCGAAGAAGAATAGATTATATTCTATATAAGCCTTGTGGTAACAAGAAAATGGTATGTTTATTTTATTTTAACAATGGTGTATTAGTTTGACGGACATTTGCAGTCATGAGCGTTTACAAGAAAAAAGATGTCCATACATGTTTTGGCACTTATATAATAGCTTCCAATATCATGGTCATGAAGTAGTAAACACGAGTCTCTCAGGCAATGGTTCCCAACCTTTTTATTAAAATCCCTCCTTTGCGTATTTTGAATATCCTTATTCCTCCCTTACTATGCATAAGAACTCTGTTTCGAGTATTTGTTCAATCTCTAATGGATTCCTAGCTAAATAGTTTGTGATATATCCATAAATACATCCTATAAATATTTGGTCATTTAGATGGCTTGACCGAACGATGGGAGTGCCATTGAAAATAAGGTAAAGATCGCATTTGAAACTTCATGGGCAAAATCTACCCCATGGTGTAATTACACATGCCAAACCTAATAAATTTCTATTCTTTCAAAAAAAGCTTCTTGCGTTTCATTGAATACTTATACAGGGCCCTGTTCAGAGTGACCATGTGCAAACAGGAGGTTCCAGTTTAACAACTTACATGATAAATGTTCACTATATTTGAAAATTGAGGTGTAAAATATAATAAAACTAATGATATAACTTATTCATTCCGGTTTTCATTACTTTTCTATAGGTTATTAAAGATTTCAAGTTTATCACTGGTTTTGCTACACTTACTGATCACATTCCATTGAGTATGACTTTTTCTGTTGACGATTGATGGCCGACTAATATGCTGCTGGGTTTTATCATATTGGAATAGCGCAATATACTAATATTCGTGAAAGTTTTGCTAGGAGAAACCATTAGGTTTTATTTTCCGAATATGATTAGGGCAATATTTTTGGCAAATGAACTCATGGTAATTACTTAAAATACTTGTTAAGATTACTGGTTTATAAATCTCCATAACTGTATGGCTATCTATTTTTATGATCTTCTCTGATAGTAAAAATTAATTTGTTCGTGCCAAATTTCATTCACTTCATCGAAGTGTAAAAAGTATAGTATGTTCAATGGTCTACTGTAGCTACGTATGAATGGCAGTCTATATGAAACTGTACAAGCGGAGGGCAACAAAAGTTCTAACAACTAAATCTTAATTCTGTTGATAAATTTAATCTTGCCGAAATCATTTTGAAGCAAATAAGTTTATATGAGATTTTTTATACTTTATCTTGAGAGGGAGGATGAAACCTGATGGCAACAATATGCTTCTTCTGAGGTAGTGTCCTAACTTCCATATGCCACTGTCGTCATTTGGTAAAAAAGCTTTAAAAATGTCCAACTTTATACAAGGTAATTAATATCCTTCACGGCAATAAGTTTAAACGGTACAAATTTTTGTATTACTCTTATTACTGCAGTTTGATTCTCATTAATTTATTTTTTCTATATATTTTAAACATTCACAGATATATTAATATGATTATAGTCTGACTGGCAGATTGGTTCATGTAATTCAAGGTGTGATGCCCCCAGCTCAATAGGATAGTGTTAACGAGCATTTGAAGCTGCCATTTCCTGGTACACTGAAATACATCGGGTTCGGTTTTATTTGGAAATGGGAATTATGTTTTAGACGCGTCGGCTAGCTGGAAATGAAATTTGGGTTTGAGCTCAACTTTTTTATTAATGGATGCTCTGTTGTCAGGGACGAAAGGGATTCTGGACTTGATTGTTTTTTCATTAAAATGGCATTTGGTCCATCTGTCACTAGGTGTGTGTAATGAATTGAAAAGTTCGGTAGGGATATTGACAATTCTGTGGGACAATCGGCTTATTTTGTCTAGTAAGTGGAACAATAAAACAGCTCAATTATTTTGTCGGCTACCTGTTCATGTTCCGGCACTGGTGTATCAAAAATGCTTTGTCCCATTTTTTAGCATATTAACTACGCTTGTCACACTATTCCGAGTCGGGCAGATATAAAGGGTATTCGTGAGGCCCTATTTTAAATCTGTAGAACAACTTTATGTGGTTCGTGTAACCAATGGTAGGCATATGAAGATGTATTATTTCGAAGCTTGTGGACCCTCAACGCCGCGGCGTCAGACCTATTCTCTCCCGCCCGACTCGAAGATAAAGCAACGAAGCTCTTGACTATTTATATATATATATATACTATGGTTTCGATGTGACACTATACGATGCACGATTCGGAGTGTACATATATGAATCCGCTTGCTACTTGTCTTCCCACGAATACGTGACTGTCATGAAATTGGTCCATGCCCATTTGCATAGAAACCGAACTGCTCAATTTCATCAAATAAAAATAAAATTCGTTTAAATCCCATGGCACATTGTTGGGTCATTTCGCGAAGACTGGGAAATAGGTGATTCTGGTCTGCATAATGTAGGAACGGGGGTAGGATTTTACAAAATTGTAAAGAGGAGTGTGGCAGGAGAAACAGTGGCTTGAATTACCGCGTGTGGGAGTAGGACAACTCCTGACCGTTTGCTGTTTTAAAACGAAGTGCAAAAATCTATCATCGAACTTTTATTAACTCCTTTTAATTAATCTTCGACGTTCAAATTTGTATTGACTGGGAGTGGCATCAAAATATTCGCTTTAACTTTATTGTGTAGTCTTGTTCGTCCTGAAATAATTATAAGGATATATATGTTAGTATTCGAAAGCGCAGCTCACTTAATTGGGAGGTATACCGGCATAAATGGGAGAGAGGTCCGTAGAGGAAAAATATATTATGAATAATCAAAATATATCGTTTATTTTTTTATGTGCAATTTGAAACCCGGCACATGGACGATATGGGTAAATGAAATGATACCACCCTGACGAGGTTGCGTGGTACATGGCTGTGGGGGAGATCCATCAGATGAAACAAAGGAATACTCTGAATTGAATATGAACGCGTACTTGGAAATGTTCACTGATGATAATATCAATGCTTACAGTCTTTAAACCAATAATTTTCACTGGGTGAAAAAGTACCATTCCTGATTCTAGTGACGAATAAAGAGTCTATAAAACTCTTCATCCAAATTGGAGATAGTCTAGAGCGAAAATATGTAACTTTTCGTGTCCAAAACTTCGCCTATATTGGCTACTACAGTATAGTTACATACATATATATATGGCTGAAGTGGCGAGTTTGGTGTATGAATATGAGTCCATCAGTGAACAATTCAGCGTTTTTACATCATTCTCTTCTTCAGGTAGTATTTCTGGCAAATCCTCCTGTTTGTCCAAGTAGCTGGAGAGTACTTCGTCCAGTATATTGTGCAATTCATCTGAAATTCAATTTACCCTTGCTTTCAATGATAAATATTTTGTGGGATTTATGATTGTGTCTTCAAATAATTGGATTTCCAGACGCAATTTTCCACCCCATTGAAATAGCTTCATATTTGGACACGAAGTGGACATATAGATCGTTTTGCTATCTTGTTGTTGTTGTTAGAATTATTACTTATCGATTTTAAAGGGTAATTACTTATTGATTTTAATCGGTAAGTATGTTGATAGGTATTTGTCTGTCTGTTAGATGCACTCGATATCTCACGTAAGCGAGATTGAATCTACCAGTATAATTAGCGAGTTATTAATTAATTAGTGATGGGACCGAAGGTGTCACTATGGAGTAAGAGCGCTGTTTTGGGGATCCCCTAACTTTCGATCGATAAGTCTTCGGTCTCTGACTGATATTCTCGTTTTCTTGTTGTCGTTGTTATTACGAAAAAAATACTTTCGTTTTCAATTACTGAACCAATTGCTTTTAAATTTACAGAGGATAACGATCGTATTTGTCGCCAGAAGGCTATTACTTTTGTTTATTCAAAAAACTTCTGTGGGCTTTAGGGGTTTCGTTTTTTTATTTGTGCGATGACGTCATCAAAACTAAAATTATTGCGGTCCTTGCGGAGATTGTCTTCTGTCTTGTTTTCAAGCGAACTGGGTAACTGCGGTACCGATAGTCTACTGTAAAAGATTGGATACCCGTGCTATTTCGTGTTGAGTTTCGTGTCCAAATATTTGGACATTCCACATCCAGGTCAGATGTGCAGTATTATGACAATAAAATAATTTTTAGGACCATCTAATTAATTTGTCATAGTTTAAAAGTTACGATATATACTTGGTAATTTTGTCCTTAAAAAGGCAAATCACTATAAACCATTGAACCTACCGACAAGAAGAGCTCCATCGCCTCTATATCCACGGCGATATTCATGATGATATCTGGGCCTGTAAATTGTAAGATCGCGGACGCATGTGGGGCCTGTAGTATCTATAAAATAGATTTAGAATAATTAATTCTTTGAACTCAAGTTCCCAGAACGACGCTACTCTGTCACCCTGAACTCCGTATTATTCGTAATATATATTCGTTATTTAAAATCAATGTAACTTTTAAACCATCCTATATCGGGTGGTCTGAAATATCTCATGTGGAAGCTTTTCTAGACTTCTGTTCATAACTGGTATCGTTTATACGAGAAATTTGAATAATATGTGTAAGCTTATATAGAGGGCTGTTATTTTTATTTATTTCAAAATTTTCTGTGTTCTCTTTTAAGGATTTCTTTCATTGTGTGTGCAAAATTAAAAATTGCGGTTCCGCTTTCGAGATCTGGTGGTCAGGTTGCGGTACCGGTAATCTATTGTGGCAAATTGCATGACCGTACTACTTCCTTTTGGCTTTTGTATCCATATAATTGAGCATCGCTATCTTGTTTGAATTGTCATATTTTCTTTTTTAAGATTAATCGAGCAGAGTTTTTCAAGTTTAGACAAAATTATTTATCCGACGGTATTTAATTTTCCAACTTTTTAAATGGTAAATATTTGCAACAAGAATGATTGAAAAATCTGTTTCATAAAATTTTAAACCGGTTATATTCTCGATAGTTCTAATCCAATAATTCAGAATTGGATGTCGAGGCCCCACAAGGCCTCCACTCTTCAGCCTACCTTTTCTGATGCTATTTCTGGCACTGTATATATGTATAATCGTAAATATATACTACTATATGTATAATCAATGATAAGAATTGGTATGATATCATAACATTTAGAATTTTATTTATTTTACTTTAGGAAAAATATCGCAGTAAACGATCGCCCTGTTACTACCGCTGAGTTTCGTTTCCAATCCTCCAGAAGTCTTTGGAAGCGACCCTAAATATATTATGCAGTTATGTGAGTACTAACGTACCAATGAGACCATTGGAACAAGTCACCCCTCTTTCTAACTTAAAAAGCATTATGTCGTCACATTCCATTTACACTATGACATTGGAGCCTCCAAATTCTTAACTCTATTTCTGAGTCAAGTTTTCAATAGTGTTGGCAAACGTCAGTAATATTACCGTGTGCCCCGAACATTGTTACAAACAACGCACTGTGCCGGCAGTCAACTATATGACTGAAAGAGCCGAATCTTGACATTAGCTTGGCTTTGAATTGTCACAGACATCACCAGATAGCGACCTCAAGAGATTTGACAGTTATTTAATATTTGAAAGCGCCCTCAAAGAGATTCAGGGTGCACCTCTGGAGGTGGGGGTCATGTGTTTGAGTCTTTGGAGTAGGGGCTGATCTTCATCTTACATTCAAACATACAAACAAATACACGTCATAACTATCACCGAATTTATTTCATTGATTTTGTAGGCCTACATAAATTTAGAGTTACATTTTTCTGAAGATTATACGTTTAGTAAATAATAATAATAAAAAGCATCGTCGTGGTCTTTAGTAGGAAGCCGTGTCCGTCCTGAAATATGGAATGTAAAAGCGTGAGAATTGTTTATAATGATGCAACAGTGTGAGGCGGTCACAACTAAGTAAAGTAAATATAAGTATCCAAGTAAATGGTTGTTAGCACTAACCATAGATAATAGTAGAATGGTCTCCATTGAACAAAACATTCAACCCACCTTCACCACAAAATTCTATAATTAAACATGTCTCTACCAATGATATATTTATTCAAACTTACAACATTGTCAGGGTGTGGTCTGGTACGAAATCATTTTGAGACGTCCTCCTGCTCTATAGCAGAATTGTCTTCTTGCATTTGAGAAAAGCTAGAAATCAAATCATCCAGCATCTGGTGCATGTTTTCTGTGTAGGTCAAATGAAATTATTAGGGAGCAAAACCTTAAAGGTAGCAACTTTGAGAAAGCCCATTGTAATACCGATCCACAAAGGAAATATACAATTAGATGATGTTCTGTCAATTAGCAGAGGCCGAAAGGTAGGGCGATGCGATTATCAATGTTCTGGTTCATATAAAACAGGGTGAAGGGTTTAATTAGAGCAAAAATACTGTTCGACCGACTATTCTATTTTTTCTTCCCACGAGTTCGCATAATAAGCGTTTGCATATCTGGGGTTATACAATTGTTTGAAAACGGAAAGTAGGTAGAACAGAGTAACGTGCGATTGCTGATATTTTCAACTTACCACCAGCTGCCGTATCTCTGTATCCCCCCTGATAATATCCATAACGACGACGTCTCCTGAAATATAATATATTAGAATACACATAAAATTATATGGTATGAGGTTGGTGTTGAAAAACGTTATCATGAAAATATGGCTATGTAAAAGATATAGTAGACTTTTTATCAAAAATACCGGCACTCTACAAATTGGCTCACAGCAATGATCATGCCGTAATAATATATACTTGAACAGATTCAGAAAAAAAAAACCGCCACTGTACTTGTAACTGCAGTCGCTGCCCACAACCAGCATTGCTGCAACCAACAAGACGAATACAACTCTGGCGTTCATCTGAAACAAGTATCGTTATAAAAATTATTAGATAAAGTTTAGTTGCAACCTTAAACTGTAAATCACACACATAAAATAGTAATGATGTTTTTTCAATTGCTTTAAACCAAAATTCACAAATACTTACTTTTGATTTTCTTTCAACTTGAAGGTGAACTTCACTTGAGAATGACAAGCATTCTGTCGGAACCTGTTTTTATAGAAAAATCGTGCTTCCGAGTGACAACAGATCCGTTCCAATATCCAAGTTAGAAATTGTTTTCAAAACACGATACAAAGTTTACTAAACACTAAAGTATAAACCACGTAGTTTATGTCTAGCCAATCCCAGAGCAGCAGTGCCTTATCACCATTTAAAAAACAAGAGAGCTATGATCAAATATATGGACACGTAAAGTCACATAATTTTGATGATGTCATAGCGAAAAAAAAAGTAATAGCCTTCTGGAGAAAATTTTTATCTTTAACCACTGAAAATTTCAAAGCAATTGGTCCTGTATTCGAACAGAAAAGCGATTTCTTCAAAACGTATTGACGGAGACAAATGATAATAACAACAAGAGAGCTACGCACAAATATATGGACACGCCAGACCAGAGCGAATCAGGCCTTACCGGTACCTTTGACGCTACCGGTACCCTCAAAAAAGTTCTGAATTTCCAGTAGCAAGAATTTTGCAGAATCAAAACGTACAGCCAGTCATGACACTGACTAAAATCCGTGTTCCCATGGATAAAAAATAATACAGCAAAATTTTAGACGAAATATCAAATTTCATAGAATTCACGCAAAATTTTGAAATAAATAAAAGTAATAGCCTTCTAGCGAAAAAATTAATCTTTAACCACTAAAAATTTCAAAGCAATTGGTCCAGTATTCGAAGAGAAAAGCGACTTTTTAAAAACGTGTCACAGAACAAGAACAAGAACAACAACAACAACATAATATTGAAACGATCGTTATGTCCACTTCGTGTCCAATAACAACAAAATTTTGAAACGATCGTTATGTCCACTACGTGTTCAATAATAATAATATTAGTATTTGTAAAGTAATATATTCATTCTACTTATTTGTAAAATATGCAGTTGATCATCTAAAACTGATATACCAATACAGTACTTGAGTACTTACAGTACTTACACTACTTAATTTTTAGTGATATCCATTTATTATATTCATTGTCTTAACATTTGCAACGTGATCAATTTCGCTCAGTCATTAACTATAGTTTTGTCGAAATTTAAGATTGAAATAAACGATAGTGCATTAAATATTCATGTGTAAAAGTACAATTTAATATTGGTGCTATGACTCAATGGGTAATTAGTAGAAAAAAAAATCATTATGCGTTAGTTGATAAGTTGTGCGAATTGAATAAGTTCCGAATGATCAATTGAAGTTTTAGTGAAATTTAAAACAGCAGACATATACTAAACTTCTTGAATAATCTTCACGCCAATGAAAATGAAATATAGCAATGTCATTTTACTGGCTTGAGAATTAAGTCGCAGTTCCTCACCTGCGTTGTGTAAAGCTAAATTGATTATTTATTTTGCAATTTGAAAGGTTTGCTGAATAATTTTGCATTATAGGCAGGGCTGTCATCGATATTAACCCCAAAATAAGGTCATCAGGGAAACACAAGATATACCAATAAGATACCAAAGAACTGAATGTAATAAACAAAACGTATTCATGCCAGTGCGACCCGTGTCTAATCATACTTTGCACTAGAAAGAACTGATCCGGCAGTTCTTTTTTCTTAGAAACAATCTGTTCCATCTCACTTTAAAGTTGTTTTTTGATTCAAGTTACACGAACTGATATTTACTATTGCGATATGACCAATTTCCCGTTAAATTTAGACAATGGTATATTCCTCATCAAATTCATCACAAAAGCTTCACTGTTTACAGTAAACAAGTTGCATCATCCTCATTAAAGAAGTAATTAGCGCTAGCGAGGAAATTAACTAGGGAACTTCAATATTACGCAAAATTAACACTCAGACAGACTCAAAATTTGACAGAGTGCCACAATGGATTGCATTGCCATGGCCGACTGCTACTTAGTAATCATCTAACAGAGAGAATTTCAATTAAAAATAAATTTCATCCCGCCGATGAAAAAAATTCCGGTTTGTCGCTTTCGTCATTGTGCACTATCACTAAATGAAATTCATATTTTAATAATGAACGGTGGAAAAAATTTTCCTCGTCGAATAACATAAAAGATATTAGATAATGTCTTGTGTGATAACAAGAAAGCCCAGATGAACGAAAATTTAAATTATTCTGTTTTTAATTGTCTTAAATACCATCGAAACGGTTTTATATTGTCAGATAGGAAATTGTGAATTTTGGATTGGTTGTTATATGAGATATTCAAATGTTACACGTATAGAAAATAAGTTAAAACAAATTCATAAATATAAAACTAGTGTGTATGTATTCGCGTCTATAATTTGTACAGATTTTATTTACAATTAGAGAGCAAAAAGAGATTATCCTGACAATTTAACCAATTAACCTAATATAATTCTTTTAACAACTCTGAGCTATGAGCGGCGAATTTCCTCAGAATGCATTTTGTATGGATCGTTTTATCGTTCTGTAAAATTAAGATTTTGGAGATGATGGTAGTTTTGAAAAAAAAAATTGCTTTTATTCATAACTAAAGTACCAATCTATTTTAAATTTTTAACCGCTAAAAAGATGCTATTTTTATTTTATTTCATCAAATTGTGTCTTGTGAAAATTTTATATTAATTCACGGGAATGCCTTATCAATAAATATATATGAATACACTTTATTTAAGTCACGCTGATTCACCGATTTTTTCAGCCAACTCGGAACCGGGGTCTTACGGTACCGGCGCTGATGCGCGATTTTCGTGTCCATAAATTTGAGCATCGTCTCCTCGTTTTTAGCCAGTTCGCATCAATGAATTTCATATAAATAACGATCAAATCTATCCACATGATAAACATAATTTAATCATTTTTTTGCATTTTAGTGGATTATTGGTGACATTTCAACAAAAAAAGATTCTAACGGATGAAATGATCATTTGCGATTTGATTTTAGATCAATATAATATTCATTCCAGACGAAGGGGTAATACAAAGCATTTGAAGAAACAGTGAAAATACAAATTTTTGAGCGTAATTAATTTAACTCGCATTGTAAAGTACAATGATCCCACTTAGTAATAGACTAATTAAACAAAGTTTTCTGTTCGAATCCTAATTGCCTTGCAGACAACAAAACATATTGCGCATATGTAAATGCGTATAATATAAAATTACGCGAAAATGTTGAGCACCTCATTTTACTAGGGAGGGGAAGCCGCGGAGATCAACTCTGGTTATAAAGCAGTGACAACCTTCTAGCGACTTCTTCGATCTTTAAGAACTGAAAATTCTAAATTGACTGATCCTATATAGTTATGGAATAGAACAATTTTTCACAACTACATAATACCACCACCAAAGAGAATTTTCTAAGCAATCGACACTCCATACACACGAATAACAAATAAACATACACGAGAAATTCGTTTTAAAAACGCCAAGTCTAAGTTTACTTACTAGTCCAAGTTTTCCCATTAGTCATTTCAGTTTATAAACTTAAGACAATTAAAAACAAAATAATTCAATTTTTTTGTTTATCTGGGCTTGCTCGTTATCACACAAGAGAATATTTGATACTTTCTATGTATTTCAACACAGAATTTTTTTTTCATCATTCATTATTAAAATACGAATTTTATCAAGTCATAGTGCACAATTCCGAAAGCGACAAACCGAATTTTTTCTTATCGCTGGGATGAAATTTATTCTTGATTGGAATTCTCTCTGTTAAATGATTACTAACTAGCACTCGGCCATACCAGTGCGATCCATTGTGGCACTCCGTCAATTTTTTTTTTACGGTATGATTATTAATTTTGCTCTTTTGCTTTCGTAGCGCTCGCGGTAATCACTTCTTTAATGAGGATGATGCAACTTGTTTACTGTATACAGTGAAGCTTTTGTGATGAATTTGATGAGGAATATACCATTGTATAAATTCAACGGGAAATTGGCCATATCGCAATAGTAAATACTTGCAACATCACGATATTCCCATCTTCCTTTCTTGTGATAAACAAAAACAAGCTAGTGCTTATTATTGAAAAAATGTAATTATTAATTATTAAAAATTATTATTTTAAAAAAATGGTCCGGGTAAAATTGTGACCAATATCTTAAAATAGTGTCTCGGGGTAAGATAAGTTTCAAAATGAAACGTAGCATATCACTACAAACCAGTAAATAGTGGCATGTAGGTAAGATCTGAAAAAAAAACGTTCCAATTTAAGCTGTACTCTACGATAGCGTGATGTATTGAATTGTATCTGCACTTAACGGGAGTTCGAATTTTCTGTCCTTTTCCAATTTATAGAAGTAGTGGAATATCCTGCACCAGTAAAGACAATCGTTTGAAATATAATAGCCCGAGAGAATTGATGCATTCATTAACCACTTCCATTTGAAACGGTAGTTGTTCGCCAACTTATAATGAGAGTATTCATCACTATGGCCATCTCTTCACCTTTCTCTCATATAAAATAACTATGAAATCTTATCCAATATATAGAGCAGGGATGGGCAACATTAGGCAGGCGGGCCGGGTGCGGCCCGCGACGAGATTTTGACCGGCCCGCTGACTGTATCCAACCACACTCTGTAATGTGGTCCGACGCATCATTCCTGAAAGTTGCAGATTGCGCTACTCTCACCGCACTGTTAGTGCGAGCTGGTGAAAAAAACAATTGCGTTAGCACACTCGTTAAACAAACAATATAAGGTCAAAGTAGAGAGCGTTGTAAAGATTCATGTAATAATTCGGCCCACCGAGGACTTCATTTTCCCACATCTGGCCCACCTACTAGAAAAAAAGCTCACTTCTGGTATAGAGTATAATAATACTCAACTAATACTCTAGTTCGGGAGCGGGCAAGGTTTTGGGGCCAGTGGTCAAGAATGTTGCCACTTGGACTGGTGGGCCATGTAAGTGTGACGTAAGAAAATACATTTTATGAACAATATTAACAGTGTTATCAAAGTAAGTGCAATGAGCCTCGTGCCAAAACTAAATTTAATCGCAATCTCAACAAATTGAGCAATTTTTCAGCTGAAACATTAAAATTTTGTTCTAGT